GTTGTATATTTCTGTGTAAAAGCTCAGAAATGATGCAGGAGTCTAGTTTCATATTAAACATATCAGATGTAAGAAATATGAAGATTTGAAAGGACGTCAGACAGGCTGAACAAATGCTTATAACTACTTTTTCCCCTTGTGTTAAAGCGCGTGGGCCACGGTGATGAGAACCATGCTAACTCAGAGCGCTCGCCTCTGTTCGTCCAGTTTATCGACTGCGTCTGGCAGATGACTCGACAGGTCGGTCCTGGACTCCGGCTTCAACAGCACATCGTGTTCGTTTCTTGATTCCAGTATGTCTTTGTGTGCACGTATTTACATCATTTCTCTGACTCGTTCTGAACGCAGTTCCCAGCAGCCTTTGAGTTCAATGAGCTCTTCCTGATCACCGTGCTGGACCATCTGTACAGCTGTCTGTTTGGTACATTCCTCTACAGCAGTGAACAGGAGCGGGCCAACCAGGTATGTTCGTGTCCTGATGCAACAGGGTCATAGAAGCTGTTTCAGCTCAAAGTCTAACTTTGTTTTGTGCAGGAGGTTCCAGCCAAGACTGTGTCTCTCTGGTCGTACATCAACAGGTACGTTAATGACCTCACTGGTTATGTTAAGCGTGAGTGGACAAGATTACTGAAAGGTTTTGACTGGTTGATGCTGTTACCTGACAGCCAGCCCGAGGACTTCACCAACCCCTTCTACGTGGACTATGAGAACCACGTTCTCTACCCGATGGTTTCGCCCAGACACCTGGAGCTTTGGACCAGTTACTATGCCCGCTGGAACCCACGCATGAGGCCACAGGTACGCTGGTGGTAGCTGGTGAAGGAGTCTGGTTAGGGCTGAGATGTTCACCACAGATAAATGTTACCAGAAAACAACAGGTAACAGAAACAAGATCTACAAGAAAGCTCTCGTGATGGATTTAGTCATCCATCCACCTGCTTCTGCTTCTCCTTGTCAGGGTCGCGGGCTGATCAATTATTGATTCATGTACTAACCGAGCAACAGAGACCGTACGGTTACATTGTGACCTTGGTTCTCTGAGTAAGAATCTCTGGAGAGTGGAGTCTCGATATGATAGAGAACTAATGTTTAATCATCTATATTTCACTGTTTTACTCTTTGGTGCAGTTGTGGATGTTATTTTTGTGGCTCAGCTGCAGGGGAGGGTGGAGCAGTGGGTTCAGGGGAAGCTGAGCCACACAGCTGCTCTCAGTCACCTGGTCACACAGGACACGGGACCTGATGAGAGAAGGGAAGATAAAATTTTGATCAAATAATCCCAGATGAAGGAGCTTATTTTTTATAATACAGAGAAGAAAACATCTTCTTTTCTATTCAGTTCTTGCTACTTATCTCCTGGTGGTGTTGGAGTTCACTCACAAACAGCAGACACTCAGACAGAGCTCACAGTAAGAGTCTCAGCTGTGCCGAGCTGAGTCTACTGAGGACTGCTGGAGAAAGACTGTAGCTCCTCACACTGTGATTGTGTTTCAGGTACCAGTGCACCAGACTCTGAAGGATCTGCTGATCCTGAGAGCAGAGCTCCAGAGGAGGGTGGAGGAGCTGCAAAGAGAGGCTTCATCCCACTCCCTGTCGTCCTCCTCGGACCACTCCCCGACACACACCACAGGAACCCCGCTGCACACGGCTGTCTGACAGGGACGGCCACACATGACTGCTTTTATGTGTTTTAACAAAGTTACACCAAAATACTAATTGACTGATATTTTTATCAACATTTCCATTTGAGAAAAATAAAATAACTCCTCGAGATATTTGTAAAATTAAAAAGCATTTAGAAAATGTTTTAAACTAGACCTAACTGAAGCGTCCTGTTAACTATATTTATATTGTTTTTATTGCACTTCACAAGAGCATGGATTTTTTCTACTGTTCAACCAAAGCATGTTAGAAAACATGTTAATATAAAGTGATTTGGGTTCATTTTCTTGTTGCACTCTGTGGATGTTGCACCAGTTCAACCTTAAAACTAATTATGTGAATGCAAAGCATGAAAAATAAAAAGTTATTCTTATTCAGAGTTTGTGGTTTAAGGCTCTATGTGCAGATTTTTATATGATGTGTTGTTGTTTTAGGGCTCTGCTACTCTGACGAGTCACATGCACTGCTGAACACGCTCCAGCTGGTAATGTTTATTGATTTGTAATGAAGACAGTTATGAACGGAAACTGTAAAATTATTGAACTCTAAAGAAGACAACAGCTACAGCTGTTTTATTCTCCAGCTCTACCACACAGTTCATGGCACAACCAACTATTCTCTGCTTACAAACACAGGGACCAACGTGGGTCTGCATGCAGAGACTGCTGTGTGTTTCCTTTTTATTTTTTACAAACACCAACTTCTTCTTTGTCTTAAATAAACTATTTTTGTCTTCTGTGTTTCTGTTGCGTCTCCGTGAAACAACACGTCCCTGGTCACATCCTTCAAAACGTGTTTTTTTTTTCCACTGTATAAAACTGCACTAACTGTTTAAAATGCATGCTCCTCATGTACGACTGTATGCATGTTCATGCTGCTCTGTTTTCTCAGTTTGCTTCAGAATCAGTGTTAGAACCTGGCAAATAAGAATTTTTATTCATATTTCATTCTTATATGGAACACAATATGTGTCATTATGAAGGCCTTAAATGCACAGGGTGCAGTGGGTCTGCCACCCTGTGTATCTTCACACACTCCTGACAAACTGATGTTGCAGAAACATTACACACAGCAGCTTAAGAATAAAACAAAACACGACAGACAGCAGCTGTTAATTTGATCATAATTGATTGCTTTTGTATCATTATCGTTCTTATTTACACATTTAAATACAACAGCAACGCTGACCAAAGTCCTGTACAGAAATACAAAATAGTATCGAATAACTCGTACTGTATGAAAAGCCAGTGAATACAAATGTGTTTTTAGATGAGATTTGAAAAGACTGACAGTAGGAGCCTGTCTGATGTGTAGGGGTACATTTAGGGGCTACGAACCCTCGATGGCCTCTGTGAACCAGCCTCGACCTTGGTGCGGCTAAACGCAACAAATCATTTGATCTAAGAGATCTAGAGGGCACATAAGGCTGCAAGAGGTCAGACAAATACCCAGGAGCGTGTCCATTCAGTGCTTTGTAAGTCGACAATAGTATTTTAAAATCAATTCTGAAGTGAACGGCGAGCATCGGGGAAATATGTTCACGTCTTTTAGTTCGTGTCAGAAGACGAGCTGCAGCATTTTTGACCAATTGGAGTCTTGCGAGGCAGGTCCGACTAACTCCAACATATAAGGAGTTATAATAGTTCAGCTGGGATGTAATAAAAGCTTGGATTGCCCGTTCAAAGACTTTAAAAGACAAAAATGAAGCCTCAGTTTGAAAGAAAAAACCAAAACCCACTGTACAACTGAGCTAATCTGTTTTTCAATTTTTGTCAACTATAACCCCCAAATATTTAACGTTCGACTTCATAAAAGGTTCAAGACTGCAGGTTAAAATGATAAGTGCTGCCACTTGGTCCAAACATTTCAGTTTTGTTCTCATTAAAGTTGAGGAAGTTAGAGGAAATCCAGATGTTAATCTCCAAAAGTTGATTCTGTTCATCTGGACGTTTTCAGAAACGTTTCCTCATCATCCAGGTGACTTCTTCAGTCTCAGCTGACTGCAGGTTTCCCCAAATCTTATAAACAGGACATTTGCATAATGACTGAAACCAGCCCACTGAAGGAACAATGGGCTGGGAGGTCACCTTCATCATAATTATGCAAATTCTCATGACCATTGATCAACAACCACTGATCAAAGACCCCTGATCAATGGCCATGAGTACCATTGACAGAGAGTTGGGGAAACGTTTCTCCCACTGAAAACGTCGTCAGATGAACAGAATCAACTTTTGGAGATTTACTTACCTGGATGATTGAGAATGCATCAAGACATCCAGGCGTTAACTTCACAGAGACATTGAAGTGAGGGTTCTAGTGGAGCAGGACAGCCTCGCTTCAGTTGAAGTCAGATCTGAGTGTAATCGGTGTATGAATGGAAACAAATGTTATATTTCCTAAAAATTAGACCTAGAGGCAGCATATAAATAGAGAATAAAATTGGCCCCAGCATAGATCCCTGAGGAGCACCACAAGTAAGGGGAGCTAAAGGGAAACATAAAATCTCAGAAGCTCACAGAGAAAGTCCTGCCAAGCAGGTATGACCTGAACCAATCTAATGCTCCAATCGCGAGATCAAGATGCTTTGGCCAACAGTATCAAGCCGGTCGAAGCCGGTTTATCTTATTGATAAAAAACTGCAAGAACCTTTCACAAGTTCTGAGGAACTATTAATACGAAAAGCTGGAGAAATATTCAGAGCAGAGTCAGTAACTGCTCTGTTTCTCTCTTTTTTGGTACTAAAGAAAATCCTTTTATATATTTAATCTTAAACCTGTGCAAGTACAACCTAATTCCAGCTGGGTCATCACCATGACAGCGTTAAGATGTTTTAGATTAATTTGTGTTTGTAATTGAAAAAACGAACAAACCACATTTGATTTTTTTCCATCACTACAGTCCCGATAAAAGTTTAAACCACTTGAAAAATGGCAAAAAATGGTTGGATCTCAATAAGGTTCCACGTAGAGCTTTAACATGCAACAAGAAGAAATGAGAGTGAGACAAAACATTTTGTTGAGCATGCAATTTATTGAAAACAACGCTTAAACTGAAAACGGCTGTTTTACAGCTGATCAAAGGTTTAAGACCATGTCAATGGAAAATTGTACTTAGTAGTCAGTATAGTCTTTTAATGATATAAGTTTGCATATGGTAGAATACTGCATGTAATCATTGTGTTTAGAAGTATATAGTTGGTGGCATATTGAAAGAATGTCTCATCCTAGGAGGTCTGTAACATTCCAGGGTGTTCTGGCGTTCACCCCCACATCCTAGGAGCATGGGAGAGGTCTGTACCTTGTCTTATTGTTTTACGGTAGGATTAACGTAGCTATGTCTAGTTTTAGTCTAAGTGCTCTTTTGTCATATAGATGAACTGTTGGATTTTCCAGACCAGCAGGTTAAGGGAAGTCGTTTATGGGGTCACACACACACACACACACACACACACACACACACACACACACACACACACACACACACACACACACACACACACACACACACACACCTCCACATTCCAATGTAAGAACAAAGCAGCCACTGAGTATAAATAAAGACCAGGGCAGTCTCTCATTGTGAGTCTTGGAGCTCACTCTTGGTGTGTGAGCTCTGGAGGCTACCCTTGCTAGCAAGAAAATCTGTGTGTTTCTCCTCTCTGATTCTCTGCTGAAGAAGTGTTTTAGAATATATCCTTAACACTGCTATTTCCAAGCACATTGTGCGCTGTTGGTCCTGCTTGCTACACAACAACATTCAATATTTCAGTATTTACTGCTGTTTACACTTAGCTAGATTAACGTGATGGTCAGTGGCGGTCCTAGCCTGTTTGCGCCCCGGGCCACTCTCTCTGCGCCCCCCCACACACATAAAACATATTAAGGATTGTAGGTTAACATAAAACTGTTGTCGAAATTCACCAGGTGCAAATTATAAGTCTTATTATAATGTCTGGTGTTTTCGTGTTTGTTAGTTTGTTTTATTTTTTTTTATATTTTATTTTATAGAAAATCGATCGGTGCCTGTACCATTCCCAATATGAGCTGGCTGATGTCGGGGCAGCATGAGTACAAGCAATTTTTTTTTTTTTTTTGCCGATGCCCATGATGTATCAAAAACCGCTACTGGTGATGGTGTTGTGTTTAGTATGTTGCTTCTCTTCTTTTTCTCTCAACAGGTGATCCAGGAGATTTTTCTCTTCTTTCTCTTTTTAAGTGCCCTTTCTCACTGTCCCTCTTCCCTTCTGTTTTTCTTTTCCTTCATCTTTCTTTCTCCCTTTCCTATCCCTCAGTCATGTCTGTCCCGTCTGTAACAACTGAAAATAAAATAAAATAAATAATAACAACAAAGGTCGATCAAATGGACCAATACGGCAAGGCCGTGATGATCCATTTGGCAAAGTAAATCCATTGGGTTCCTTGTTGGTCTTCAGACAACAATTCTGACGGCTAAAGAACCAAATGGGACAGGCAAAAAAAGTGAAGTTGACTAAAAGATCTCAGAAAGCAACATCGTGGACATCTAAAGAAACAGCTAAGAAACACTGAACTCTATCAGTCTGGAAAGGGTTACAAAGGCATTTTAAGCGCTTTGGGAATCGAACCACGATGAGGGCCTTAATACAGAAAATGTGGAAAACCTGAAGGCCTCACTTGTCTCATTTAATGTGCCCTGAAGCTCAAGTGCACCAGGACAGTAATGCAAAACACAGCAGCAAGATCATCTCTGAATGGCTCAAAAAACAACATGGACCTGGTCAAAGTGCAGACTGCAATCAGATTGAGATGGTTTAGCATGACCTTAAAAACTCAGACCCTCCAAAGTGGCCGAATGAAAACAATTCTGCAAAGAAGAGTGGACCAAATTTCCTCCACAGCGCTGTAACACGCTCATCACCAGTTATTGCAAATGCTTGATTGCAGTTCTTGCTAGATGACAAAACCACTTATTAGGTTTAGAAGGAAATGACTTTTTCTACATGAGGTAAAGTTGGAGCTGTTTCCCCAAACTAAATGAAATCATCATTTAAAAAACTACAATCTGTATTTACTCTGAACATCTGTGTTAACATTTGAAATTGGAAAAATGTAAGTGTAACAAACATGTTAAAACATAAGAAAACAGGAAGGGGCATGTATAGGAATTTCTTTTACTTATGTATTTGTCATCCAGGGAAGACGGACGTTGTTTTGCTGGGCTGTATTTTTATGTGAAGTGTATATATTTATTTTTTATATTGCATGTATTGGATATATTTTTGTGCAGTGTTTTATTTAGTTTGCATGTTTTAGTTGCCGGCAAATTGTCCTGGAGAGACTCCGCCCTCCCCCTGTTTTTACTAATTGGACACACCTGAGAGAAAAGAAAAGGTAATTT